ACTCGAGACTACGTGTACTATGTTGGTATAAGATGGTGGTTGATCAGCCTCAGACGATAATGGTATGAAATGAATTTCGGAGGCTCACTTTTCAACTTATTACAACTTCCACAGTTGTTTGCCTCATGACATATGTCTGCATTCATCTCTGGCCACTAACATGTGAGCCTTATCAAGGGCCTCATTTACTCAACACCAAAATATTCACTATGTATATATTCCAGGGCGGATTTACGCAATGAAGGAGGAATAACAATATAAGTATTTAAACACAAAATACCATCAGGAGTGTTATGCTAGGTTTGAAGCGGATACGAGTTCACTTAGTATGCGAACGGAAGAAGACTTGTGACCGAAGACCAGTAAGCTGGATAATCTGATGCGTTCCAGACCCGCTAACTAGAGTGAAGAATCGAAGCTTGGAACGGGAAAGTACATTCCGTAAGCCAGAATCACGAGTGAAAAATAACAGACACAAATCAAAAGTATATATATATACAGCATAAAACTGTCCTTGGGAAGCGTTGTAAAAACAGCGTACTAAAATACACAACGGACCAATAGCGTTAAAGATTCTCCCAGGTGGAAATACGACATGAAGGTGGAGAGCTTTTGGCGCGAAAACGAGGAAATTCACGTTTTCAAAATAAAATTACAAAATTAAAGCATTTACCAAGTGAGTTCTGGGGATATAACATCCCGAACTTAGTAAATAACCCACCCCTTTTTGAAAAATAGGCAGGAAATCCATCTTTCTTGTCAGCATTCCAACCTTTCCGTATAGCACTAAGTATATATCCATAGTATCTAGTGGTTTCTATTTTCAGATCCGGACGCCTCGCTGTTGAAGCTTGCACTAACAAACAGTCTGTAGTATTGACATGTTTATTTTGTTATGACTGTCGAGACATGCAGTTACCGTGTTGAATCTGTGTGATAATTAAGAGTATTTGAATTCTAGTACAAACTAGGGATCCCAGAAATAATGAAATTGGATGAAGAAGTACTGGATAAGCACTAACGAATGAACTGTTTTTGGAATTCGAAACCAAACATTCAACAAGTACAAAGGAATCGTTATTTACACAAACAACACAATCTGTTTGGCACTTCTGTGCTAAATGGTATGGTCATAGGCAGACAAAACAATACTCTATCGTCTAACCACAGCAGCTTAGGAATGTGTTAAACATTTTTCGGGTTGATAAATGAACTTTAAGGCTCCATGATCTGTAGCAATAAAAAATTTATTTCTAAATGAATATTTTTGGGTTATTTTAACAGCCCAAAACAGCTAGTGCTTCTCGCTGAGTTTGTGAATAACCTTGTTCAGTAAGAGTAAGTTTGTGTGAAACACAGATTACTGGTCTATCTTCCTGCTCCAAAAGTGGACCAATACCCACAGATGATACATCAGTAATACGCATTTCAGAGAAGGGATCTCTTTTCAACGAATTTATTATCAAGCTGTACAATCGTATATATATGAAAATTTTGTTTTTGTAAAAGTACTACTAAAGAGATCCCTTCGCTGAACTTCGTGTTTTAATCTTAATGTTTAAATGGGAATTATCTGTCAACATCAGTAATAATTATAGAATGTACAGAGGGAGGGTAAGTTGGAAGAATGGCATCACTTTGAAGAACCTTTGGTAGACCTCGTAAGCATGACTCATGTTCCACACCAAATTTGAATGGACTAGATGTCAAAATATTAAATAAACAATTGTCACTACAAGAAAAATTAGGAATAAACCAGGAGTAGTATTGAGGAGCACCCACTAGTGAACATATTTCTGTAATGTTTTTCGGAGACTGTGCATTTGTTAGTGGAGCTCATCGCTTCAAATCTGGTCTAAAGCCATCACAATGAACTAGGTATCGAAGACATTCAAAGCAAGATACACAAAATGAACACTTCCTAGGTTCCTTTATGATATTCTTCCCAACTAAACGACGCTATAAAGCAATAGTTCCACGATCATGAACTAGTTTATCAGAACCATGAACAACGAGATCATCTTGATAAGCTTTAACACCTTCAAGATCACTAGCTACATTATTCATCACCTCAACAAAATTGAGGGAAGTTCTACTTGAACAGAGCAAAATGAGTGTTAATTTTTGTCAAAATAAGTGAAGGTTTATCTGAGGGAACTTGAAAATAAGCATCTTTCGAGTCAACTTTCGAGATCACTTTAGAGCCATTAAGTGGATTAAGAATATCTTCAGCCTCTACCGTTGTGCGCGTTTGCATCAAGTGACAGAAGTTCAGTGTTATTCTATAGTCATCACATAAATGATCATTAGGAACACTCGAATTAATGGGACCTAAATTACAAGGTTTAGCACTACGTGAATGTATATAAACAGTAGTGGTGAGACTAATTTATGGACGAACTTTGAGCGACGCTAAAGTGAGAGTGTCCACCTAATAACTATGAAAAAATAAGGGTCATAAACCAGTGTGAGGAATTAGAATTAGGATTTACATTTGATGGTTAGGGTTAGGAATTGGATTTAGAGTTTTCTTCACGAACTGACATCAGCTATGACGCCCAAACTATTTAGCCAAATGAATGGGTGGATTTCGCGCCAAAATAGAAGACCTATTATTTTATGCCTGATTGGTTTGTCCATAACTTATAGTCTCGCCACTTTATCCAAATATTTTAGTAATGTTCCAACCGACAGTTATGAAAAACCAACAATTATTTGTGATGGAGCCTTACCGAATGATTCAGTTGTTATGAAGAAAAGAACCGTCTTACGATTACTTCAATATCCCTAGCCAGATAAGCGCGGTGATCTTGAGGGCACTCATCTTAGGATTATGAAAGCTCTGGCGTACGTGACATCTGAACTTCCCCCAATGCTGTTCGATATATTTGCTGCAGTCAGACCTGTGAAGACACTGGAAAGACTCTATTGTCAGTACAGTCTCTTAAGTGGGGGGTAGGGACTTTGTTAGTATCTATCTTCTTATTATTCTAATCGGTGTAGTCATCATACTAATGAAATAAGTTATTCAGGTGGCTATTCTAAACTATATGGAAGGGAATAATCTTTTATCCAGGAAAGAACATGTGTTTAGGAAAGTCTTATTATGTTTGACAATCCTGTTTACTTCAAGGGAAGATTGGGCTGCAGAGCAAGATAGAAATATTCCGGTAGGTGTAATTTTTGCAGACCCAAGTAAAGCAATTGACAGTGTCTCTCGCGTGGAATTTAAGTTAAACCTGGAAGGTTTTGGGATTCATGATGAAGTCATAAACTGGATATGCGTCTTTCTCAATGATAATAAATAACAGATACATGTAAATCGATCCCTAACAACGTGAAAAACTTTAGAAAGTGAGGTGACCCAGTGCGTAATCCTCTGCACTCTTCTCTTTTTACTTTATGAATATGAACTACCAAGTGCAGCGAACTCATATGTACTATTGTTTGCAGATGATATGAAGGTTTGGAGGCTTATATACAGTATGTCAGTCAGATTAAACTACAGGACAATTTAAATTCACTAGTTGATAGAATGTGTGGACATTATTAGAAGTTAATCCGAACGGGAGCGTAGTGATGCAACCAAATAGCTGCAGCCATCCATTTCACTACACAAGTGAAACTGTGTCACCGAAACCAATGGACTGTAAAAATCTAGGAGCCATAGCAAGCAACAACTGTAGTAACACGAGTAAGTTTAAGGCTACCACGGTCAAACAACTTAGTCTTATGGGCATTCATAATTCAGTTGATTACTTAGACAAACAAATGTCCAGGTATTAAAGCAGAGTATAGAGCCAGTGAAATGCCATTGCGCCCCAGCCAAATTATCCGTCGGTCGAGTCACTGAATATCGAATAGTTCATCGATCCTAGCCAGTTCCAAAGGCAACCAACGCGCATCAATTAGTTGGGCACCATGGATTGGCTCATGAAACAGTGGATACACACTGTTTCATGTACCTAGTCTCACTAATATATTTCTGTAATAACGTCGTTTGTGTTGCATGATCATTGAAGTAGCAATTGTATCTAGGTACGATGAAAGGGCAACCTGCGTTAGGTGCTAACGTTGAGCTGGTTGGTCTAGGTCGAATAGGTCCCAAATCATTGGTGATCTACTCGATTTTTGTGAGGCCGCATTTAGAATCTGGAGTCCAGGCAGCGAATCATTGTTTCAAGCATGAAGCAAATATGCTAGGACAGGTTCAACGGAGAGGGACCGAAATGTTAAAAGGTCTCTCTGGACTATCTTATGAGGACAGAGTGAGATGCCTCAACCCATTTCCACTATCGTAGCGGAAGTTAATGTGTGATCTTATGCTCACCTACAATATACGGAATAATGTTCCTGGTGCTAATATAACTTGCCTATTTCTCCCTTCTTGAAATTATCTTTTGAAAGAACATTCTGAAGAAGTGCGTTCATATCTGGAGTTTCGTTTATAGCGTAAAGTATTGAATTACTAGAATCATCTACCGGAACAGGTGATACCAGAAATTTCTGTCGATACGTTTCTGGAGACCGTTGATCGAATGAGAATATTGACGAAATACACATACCAACTACCACCGTATATAATTATTGACTTAGTTCGTGTTAGAGAACAACAGTATAGGTAAAAAATGTGAATGAATTTAAGATACGTATACTTCATACGATTTTTACCCTTGACAAACAATAGGAGAAACGAAAGGAGAAGGAAAGCGAGAAGACGAAACTGTGTCAAGTCGCTATAATATTCATTACGAATGTTATTGTAGCTCGAAATCGATAGTGCATATGTTGTCAAAGAGACAGGAACTATGTATAATAATAAGTGACAGGCATATATTCAGGAGGAATATCAATGCAAAAAACAGGGAAACAAAAATAAGACATGTACATGTGCTGAATGTTGCGATTTTCTATAAGAACAAGAGAGTAATTATGAAAGTAAAAATGATTCAACGGTCACAACCTGTGTAAGTTATTAAGGTCCGTTCAAAGGCCAAGATGAATTACGTACGTTTTTAATAGTTATAGACACTACTAATTTAAAGCGACAGTGGTTCTACACAGTAATACAAATTATAGGGATTAATGTAGGTTGGGTGACTTCCTATCCTACTGACGACTAGCGCCTAACTTGTCTTTAGCGCTACGATATGGTTGTGTCAGCATTATATATTTTAGACAACAAAGGGAAAGTGCTCATTCATAGGAATTATCGTGGTGATGTCGAAACCAGTGCCATTGAAAAGTTTATGCCTGTTGCAATGGAGCGTGAAGAGGAAGGCAGTCTTATTCCAGTTTTACAATTAGGGGAAATAACATTCACTTATGTTAAATACAATTACTTGTATTTGGTATGCTTAACTCGCAAAAACGCCAATGTAGCAATGGTTCTTGCTTTCCTGTATAAACTCGTCAGTGTAAGTTTCTTGGTTTTCTCATCAACGCAGATATTTCTTGAATATTTTGGGGAATTCGAAGAAGAGAGTATTCGTGATAACTTTGTTATCACATACGAACTGTTAGATGAAATTATGGACTTTGGTTATCCACAGACAACTGACACAAAAATCCTTCAGGAATATATTACACAAGAGAGCCACAAACTAGAGGTGGCTCCACGTCCTCCAGTTGCTGTTACAAATGCTGTATCCTGGCGCTCGGAAAATGTAAAGTATCGGAAAAATGAAGTTTTCTTGGATGTTGTTGAGTCTGTGAATCTATTAGTATGCCCAAATTGCTTGATATTTAAAATGCTAGGTGAGCTCCACCGGAAACGTTTTGCGCAGCGAGATTGTGGGGAGCATAAAACTTCGTGTTTATCTCTCTGGAATGCCTGAGCTCCGCTTGGGAGTGAATGACAAAGTCAGATTTGAAAACATCGGACGTAAGTAGTTTGCTCAACCTTTACCCCCCAATATTTTTTTACATAGGCGATAAAGGCAAAGCTGTAGAACTGGAAGATGTGAAATTCCATCAATGTGTTAGGCTGTCAAGATTTGAAAATGATCGAACAATCTCTTTTATCCCTCCAGATGGTGAATTTGAACTTATGTCTTACAGGCTCAACACCCATGTAAGTGTTTTATTTGTCACCATTAGAAATTTTGTTTGTCCATCATGGGACTTAAATATTCACTTGATAGATTATCATTAAATTGATATCTGTGGAGATAACTATGTTTTAAAGCTTTTCGATACATGTATTCCATTCGTGTTAGCTAACAGTTGTAGTAACCTACTCGAGCAACAAATCTATAGTAGACAAAATATGTCATATATATATTCCAAAACATACATTATTGTCAATCATCGTGCAGTTTCATTATACACAGTTAGTATAAGGGAAATAAACTTCATATGTTCATTTGAAAATGATGTGCATCTCGAGTTGTTTATTCAGGCTAGGATTTAATTATAATGGAAATGTGTGAGGAAAGGCAAACATTTGTTAAAGAAACTGGATTAATGTTACTACCATTATTTGACCTAACGTATCTCCACCATAGCATCAATTCATGAGACAATTTATTTTACGTTTCTTGTACCAAAATCTGTATTTTAAATAAATGAATTAGACGAATAATTTTTCTAGGTTTACTGACGAAAAGTATGTCAACTTGAACTTACATTCTACTGTGTCAAGTCTTATATTATTCTTACCCCCTATCTAAACCTATATGTAGCTTAAAAACCTTATATACGTTGATATGCTGGTCGACATCCTTTTGTTGTGCAAGGTATGATAATTATACTTAGTCTTTTAAATCAGGATGATTTAGTGAGACTTAAATGCATGGTATATGATTAAACCTCTGAATCACGATTTTAAATAGAACGAAATTATAAAATGTTTTCATCAGCTTCACTATTTAAATGAAGTAATTATCATTCTTCAGGTTCCCTACACTGTATCGTACATCGTTTATCATAACCTTATTATCAGTAGCCTTCACTGGGTTCGTTTATGTAATAGACAGTCATAAAAACTGTGTATCTCTATAACCTATATATTTTATCTTAATTTCTTTTTAAATCTAGGTTAAACCTCTGATCTGGGTAGAAGCAATAATTGAGAAACATGCACATAGCCGTATGGAGTATATGGTGAAGGTAAATTCATGCATACTTTACTATTTTGATATATATTCTATATTTGTTTCTTCGAATTTTGGGGTCCAGGTACATCCAGTCGATGAGTCCCCAAATAGGACGAGACGCTCGTCCTGGATTACATGGCTAGTCACCATCAAGCTGTACTTAAAATACTGTAAATTTTATGTTTAATATTGACAGTGATTAGTTTACAAGATAGTTGTTTGAAGTCCCAGTTGACATATACGAACTATCAAGACTCAGTAGGGAGTATAATATTCACAATACTAAGAAATTGTTAGATTGTATTATAAGTTCATGAAAGTGGTAAGGTATGCATGGTCAGTAGTGTTAAACTTTTACTTTCGACTAACTCTAGTTAGGTTGTTCATAACAGCAAATTCTCAATTAGCACCTTATTTTTTAAGTAACAAACTGTTCTTTATATGAGATGAAGTTTTTGATTGTTGAAATAAATACAATGTGAACTAGTGTTTGGAAGCAGTCGACAGAAAACCCTGGACCCGGATTTTGTGTTATTCGACACTAGTCAGTAAGGTGTACATGTAACCTTGAGGGAACTGATGCTCCTTCGCGGATTTGATCCCGTCTAACTCAGCTTCACCATCAGAGACGTTATTGTTATGATGGGCGGTGTCCTAAATCTGATACTGATACACGATGTGCTACGTGCTAATCCCCTACCTAACTACTTGAGCGAGAAGACAAGAGTAGATGAGAAAGTCTATTGAGCTACCGAATAAAATGCACAAGTACTCATGTATTTACATGCAACTCTACCCCTTAGGTAATCAATCCATTTCTAGACACTTATCCTTCAGGTCGCTTTTGTTTACCAAGGATTGACCTCATTAGCCTACTTCTTATTTGCTTGCCATATTAGTTACCACTGATTTATCTGGGTCGCGACTGACCTGTAGGACAGATGTATTTACAGTTGATTGATCACTGGGTGGTGACCAATGTCATGTGTGTCAGGTCCTTCCTAGTGCAGATCTCAGTCATACAACAGGTCATTCGCGACCCAAATAGACCAGTTGTAACGTCTCTGACTGAAGCTGAGTCCAAGGGGGTCGCATCCACCAGTAAGCGTCAGTTCCCTCAAGATTACAGGTACATTTTGCTGGCGAGTGCCAAATAACACGAAGCTTGGGTCCAGGGTTTCTTGTCGACTACATCCAATCACCACCTTACATCTGAACATAGTGCATGCAATTTCGTGTAACGTGGGGTTGTTAAGAGATAATGTAAAGTGCGTATAGTAAAAAGAAGAACAACAACGGACAAAAATGAGTGTATTAGAATGAAATAATAATAATAATAATAATAATAATAATAATAATAATAATAATGGGAGAAACAATTCGGTCAGGAAAAATACAAACAGAAAGAATCCTTTCGTCCACTGTTGTGAAGAAAGTAAAAGAAAGTTACAGCAGGATCGTCACTGGCATCTATTCGGATGACGTCTCTAAACACTGTGTTACACCATATCTAGGATCCTAACCAGGGAGTCGTGAAGGACCAACAGAAGCCAATCTTGTACAGCTTTCTTCTACACCACGACACCACACACTTACCACCTCTCCGCTTTCTCCAACCGGTCCCAGCGTCGGATAATAACGCACGACGTGGAATTCTCTGAGACGACATTCGTAAAACATGTCCAAACCACCGAAGTCGATGTTTCAAGATAGGACACTGATTGCCAACTGATTAAGTGCAGATTGCATGGCTTGGGCATTATCGCAAAGTAAGACAATATCATCCTCATACTCAAGGTCGAGAAGTCTTTCTCCAGGCGACAGATCCACACTGCCATTACTTACATCAATCAGAGCTGTTTCCAGAATGTCATCGATGGCAAAGTTGAAGAGGAACGGTGAGATTGGACAACCCTGCCTAACCCCACTGCTCGAATGAAACAATGGAGAGAGGTGGTTGTATGCCCTCACTCTGCCTGAAGTGTTTGTATATAGGGCCTTTAGGATGTTAATAAACTTCTCAGACACACCCTTCTTAAACAGACAATCCTAGAGAACAGTGCTGTCCAACGAATCGAAGGCAGCCCTGATGTCAAGAAACACTACGATTGTTGGGCTTTGATAAGTATGGCGGTGTTCTAACATTTGGCGGAGGGTGAAGATATGATCAATACATCCTCGACCAGAACGAAAACCAGCCTGTTCTTCGCGAGTCAATCTTTCTCGGGTTTTGGACAATCTACAAAGTATGATGGAAGCCATTAGTTTAAACGTTATTGGAAGTAGACTTATCCCTCAATAGTTGTTGCGAAAACGACGTGAATCCTTTTTAAGTGTAGGAACAACTATCTACTCATTCCATGATGTTGGAACACTCTCTAATTACCATATCTTTGTAAATAATTCAGTCAGTTCCATAACCAGAAAGTCGCCACCATCTTTAAAAATGTTAGGAGGTAAGTCATCTGGGCCTGATAATTTGTGGCGCTTCAGAAGTTGAAGTTCCCTGCGGACTTCCACCTCGTTAAAGGGATCAATCTTCACTGACGATGGATGGCAGAACAGTCTGATCAATGTTGCTGGGCCAACAGACCAGTAGAACTACTCCTAAAAAAATTCACATTGTTCAAGACGCCGGTAGATGTTATTGATCAGCATCCCATCATCACAGATTGTTTCACTCACCCAGCGATCAATCAATTTAGCGAATAGAATATTAGTTGGCAGATGAAAGCAATAATATAATGTGGCCAAATTTTAGCTTCCTTACGAGATTGTATTATTGACTTAAGCCCTCAAATGACTTGAAATAAAAAAAGATTACTAATCAGCTGATTTTTATATGAACAAGAATAAGTAATAAAATGCCATAGGCGATTGGAGGAATTTGATTTGTAGGTCACTCATTCTCAACTCGATTAAGGCCTGGCTGTTAGGTCGATTTTCAAGCATTGGGTCAATGTGTTAGCGGAATAGATTCTTGGTTAATACACACTTAAACCATGATCATGCGAAAGCACATTGATTAGTTGAAAATGGATCAATCAACACCAATGGATGGCTTTAAAAGACGCTAGACCACTGTGTACATCTTGTATAAACACTAACGTTTTTAAAATATATTTTACTTTTCGGACTAGCTATTCTCGTTCTTTTCCAATTTATGTTCTGGTTCGGGATCAGTTGAGTAAAGTATTGTACCTAAAAAATGCTTTGCGATGGTAACACAACGACACGCTATCCGAATAAAATAGTATTTTTGAAGTCAAATAAGTCGACCAACATTTCCATATTAGTCGCCGTTGTAAAGAAGGCTTTCGTCCAATGAATCCAACAACGTACAGTGAACATGCAAAGACTACTGATATAGATTTATTTGATCACAAAAATAATTTATGAATACACCATCTTCCATATGATTTCTTTACAACCAGATTTGTATAATTTAATTTTGTAAACACATTTACAATATCATGCAGCTAATCATTTCTTCTCACGGCATGTTTACTTGTCACATATCTTTGGAGAAAATCACTTCATATGTCATTTGCACTTCAATCGATTAAGTCATTGCTCGCCCTATCGATTAATATATATATCCATAGTGTCTAGTTTCATAGTTGATTTTGCCTAGTAATAGTTTTCTATGTTTCTAACTCTTTCAGCTGATTTTTCTCAGCACAATGGACAGGATTTCGACTTCATTAATAATACAATAAACCGTTATCGATAAAATGAAGATATATATATATATATATATATATATATATATATATATATATATATATATATATATATATATATATATATATATATATATATATATATATAATTTCATCTTAAGAATTGTTTACATAGTCTGAATAGTCAGGATGCTTTTAGAAAGTTCAAGTTTTGTTTTTTGGAGTAGTGGCTTATTGGTTAAAGTATTGGATTTTTAGTCGCTAGTTCTCAGATTTGAGTTCCACGCCACTTCGGTTTATGCAACTGTGCCATTAGCCCTCAAACATGAAATGTACCTCAGTGCATCATAGTTTAGTGTTATTAAAAGTAAATTCTCTCAAGTGATGAATCCAATTATCTAAACACCTGGCTTTCGATATCCGCCTTGATGTTTATTCTCAGTTATTTTAATTCCTTTTGGGAACTTACTGCTTTTTACATTTCTGTGTTTAAGAATATACAACAAAGGTGTCTTCTGAAATATTATTTTAAAAATATATTGTCACTTTTTGTCATCAATTTATTGTATACAAAAAGATTAAATTGCATGAGATTTTGCTATGAGATGCTCCACTAGCAGTATATATGACCAAAAGCAATCTTACACTGTTTATAATGTAACTTTTGTAACCATGTACAACTTCGGTTGCCCAAAACCCCAGAATAAGTGAATTGAGATTTGTAGTTAAAATTAAACTTTCAATCGTTGAATCACTACTGCTTTACCTCACTACAACTCATCTACAGAGTACTCAACTTTAATGCATGCTGTTTTGATAAGATGTTACTACTACCAGGGTTCCCAAACCTGAGTTGAAACCTGTGACCTATTGTATTGTGGTTAACAACCAAGTGCTCTAACCAATACACTGAATCACCAGTACTACTTCGTCCGAACAATGGTTAATTCTTCTTTTGTTTTATTTTTCTGCTATTTTTTATAACTTACAAGGCTAAAGCACAATTCAAACGTCGAAGTACAGCGAATCAAGTTGAAATTCATGTTCCAGTTCCATCGGATGTTGACTCACCAAGATTTAAAACAACAATGGGTAATGCGAAGTATGTTCCAGAGACAAATGTTGTTGTCTGGACAATACGCAGCTTTCCCGGTGGTAAAGAATACATATTAAGAGCCAGTTTCGGTTTGCCTTCTGTAGAAGGGGGTCAAGATGTGGAGTCTAGACCGCCAATAACTGTGAAATTCGAAATACCATATTTCACTGTATCTGGTTTACAGGTTTGTGATGGGATCTTTCTTACATAGAAGTACTCTCATGAAATTATAAATAATTATTTTTATCCCTCTCTAGACTAAAAATATTTATCTGTATACTCGGTGCAAAGTGAGCAGAATAAGTTTATATCTTGTGTTTGAAATCCAACCATTCAAATAATCACTAAACCACAACTCTTAGGTCACTGACCACTATGGTGCTTGTTACGTATTAGACTGTGAAACTATCTATAAATAATTGTTATGTAAAGGCTCTCAGATGTATCCTCTGCCTGGTTAAAACATGGTGATATCATATGGGTTCACTCTCGATGAGTTTCACATTAGGGCGAAACACCTTTTCAGTACTTTTTGGCTTTTAATGATACGTAATTGATGTCAGTTCCTTCAACAAAACTGATACTATTGAGTTTAAAATAGACTGGTGAACAGTTTCGCAGAAGCATTCTGTTTTTCAAATTTGAAAGCCAGATTACTTTTAATTCGAAGGACTCACTTTAATCATCTCTCTTTGAACTCTGTTGGTTTTTTGCGCTTGTATATAGTTCTTGATAGGTAACTGGCCCATTAAAATATTTACTGTTTTATGAAATAACTACTCATTAGTAATAGGATTTTTAAAATCTCAATAATTACTTATGAACAAACTACTGAAATAATATTGCGAGTTAAATGAATTTGGAGATGCGAACAATTAGCTACGAACTAAGTTATAGTCTTAAAGTGGTACTCTCACCTCTAAACATGACATTCCTCGGTTCGACCCCTGGCATTGCCGTAAGCATCTAGTCCTAAGGAGTTCTTAACTAGAACGAAACAGTTGTTCAATTCTTCCTGACTATTAATGACTGATTAAGTGGAGCCCGTTGATGTTTTAAACCATTTTTAAGTTTGCAAGCTGTATTTATTGCATATCGGTCTCATTTGGCATACCACTGAAATTCAGAGAGCTATCAGGCAGCTATTTCATCCTAGTGTGGGGTGGGATCACTAATGCTTCCACTCAATTTATCCAGACGTCGAACCGAGGACCTTTATGTCTCGTGGTGAACAATTAATCACTAGAACTATCGGTTCGATATCCAGTGGCACAATTTAAACTTCAATCGATTCGCGATATAACCCATTGATGACTTCTGAGCAGTTTCATGATAGTAGGAAAGAGATATCCAGTACTCTCTAGTTTCCAATGGTACCCAATCTGAAATCAACATTTGATCAATTCTAAAGTTATTTAAAATGATGGATTTCGTCATACGTGGTTATTGTTCGATTTTTTACATAAAATTGTTATCTATTACGGGACTGGACTCTGAAGAGGTGACTTAAATCAAGCCACGAAATGTCATCGGGATATATTATTACTTTTATTATTATTATTTAGGTTCATCACTTAAAAATTATTGAAAAATCTGGTTATCACGCACTCCCATGGGTACGTTATATTACACAAAACGGTGATTATCAATTACGTACTTTATAAAGCATGAACACAACAATCAACATGAAGACACAATGTTATTTTGTATCATTTCTAATTCTTTTTCTCTGTTTCTCTTAAATCTCTCTCTTTAACCACAACTACTTCTGGTTATTTGAGTAGTAAAATTATCGTTTTATCAATTTTTCTTTCTGTTTTAATATGTGAGATCTACTTTCATCTCATTTTAACTTTTTACTTCATTCGTTCCATTTTCAACAAGTTTATTTTGAGTGGTGACGACAAAAACAACAACAACAAACAATACATCTGTCCATCTTGTATAATTTTACAAATAATCTTACTATTTTGAAATTCAATCAGTTAGACCATAATTTACCACATGGCTGTGAATAGTCTCTTATGTACTACTACTACTACTACTACTACTACTACTACTCTAAGACTGCAACTATCCCCGCATTTTTTATGAAACATGTTTATATACATGATAATATTGTTATTACATTCTTATCAGTTTCTATATTTGGATTACGATTTAAACGGGGAAAATTTGTCACAGCTTTTAATATATGCACCTATCCGTTTTTTGTTCTAGTTATTTATCTGGTTTCTTTATGAGAATGAGGGTGGGGCGGTGAAAGGCGTTTAATATGAGGTTGATATATGTCGCTTTATTATCGGTGTATATTATGAACTTCCTTTTTTGAATACTTATACTATTTAATATACTTTTTGGTTATTTTAAATCATTACATTGGTTGCTCTATATCCATCACTCTTCATGTGTGTATGATTAGCAGAGATGTTTCCACTGAGCTACGCCGACCATGACCGAGATGTACCTATAATTGATTGATTATTCAATCGTAGCCAGAGCCACTTATGTCAAGTTCTAATAGTGTTGGTCGAACTCTATTGGTTAAGTTGCCAGTGTCTCTTTAAAATAATGTAGAAATACGGCATAGGGTACTAGATAAATAGGGCAAAGTGACTAGTGTGACTGTAAACCTTCGTGGACATATGTTGTTTCTAACTCAAACCACCTGGCATAGGGAGGGGGCAAGTGAGGAGAAAGCTATGAAAAACCGGACCAAATACATTCCAGTGTCTGTCGGACTGATCCATGTCAGGTGCAAACTACTTGTTTGGAATCAATTTGGCTATCGTGACCAATGGGTAGTGATGGGTCACAATGCTCAAAATTTGTCACATACGAAGAGAATATAACGTTTTAAAAATGGGAATTCACCGTTTGAGAAGAATGTTCATAAACTGTATTGATTGAATATATGTCACATGTTAACAATAATGTGACGCTTTTGATCCTAACAAATAGCACAATCAGAGGTGATAGCATTTTCGTGCACAAAGTTATTACCTGAATGTACAAAAGAATAGTTATCAATCATGTAAACATGGAGATGTTTCTGGTAGGAAGACGTAAGCATGCTGAGAAAAATAGCACCGCTACAACGTGCTTTGCAATATCTAGGGTCCAGTGTGTTCTTAGTAAAAGAACTGAAAAGTCATCCTTATCAATTAATAATTTAATACGGGCTGATTGCAGCCAGTTACACTACAAGCCACTCGTTATCATGGCGGGACGATAACTTATAGATGAACCAATCAGATAGAGAATCTTGACACGACGTTCGTTAATCCATATGGCTAACAAGGATTTTGACATTATAGTGAATGCCAATTCGTGATGAAAATATCAATTCTAGTTCCTAATCCCTTACACTAATTTGTAACCCTATCTTGGATCTAATAAATGCGTAGAGTTGCTCAAGATCACTTCCGAGTCCCTATAAATGTCATCCATAAATCATAGTCTTGCCGATCTATCGTCACATATAAGCTCATTTCTATTCTAGTATTCATTGGTAGTTAAAAAGCTTTTAATCAATAAATTACCGATTAGATATTTATATGATCTTGTTTCTTTTTTTACTTCGAAATAAGATAAAATCTAGAATAATTAAAATGTAAGATTCCTTCAAAAGTTTGTCTGTTAATTGGTTAGAAAATAACATTCATCTGGTTAGTGACTTAAGTTTAATCTGATGTTACCAAAAAGAATGAATTATTTTCACTTCAAACTACTCAAATGACCTTAAAACTAAATTGTACTTCAAACACGACTGTTATTACTTTTAGTGAATAGTTAATTTCCGTATAATCAATAATTTTATTGTATAACATTATATGTATAAATGTAGATCACTATAAAGTCGATCTGATCGACACTAAGTATATCCTGGAAAAGGTAAAATATATTGATTATTTTTAAAACCTTTATTACATCCAATCGATCTTAACGATATATCAGTAGTAATGATCAGCTGAATAAAAAAATGTGATGATAACGAATCATTAGAATTACCTATTCCTAACAAATTCGATTGTTTAAATGTGGTTGTTCTTTTTTTTTTCTATGTTAATAACAATAGGAAATAAGTTATTAGAATAGTAAATTATCAATTCCTTATAATATTTCGTATTGTTCATTATATAGTGTCGGTGTAAAAATTCAATGAATTAAACATAATGAAGTTCGAGGTTTGTTTTTCGGTCTTAGACAGTTGGAGGCAATTTACAAAAATCCCCTGTTTACTCATTTTATCACTCATTATCCTTTAGAGGATTGATGCTTTCTGTGAGATTTGAACCAGTGTCAGCAATCTGAGTGGATCTTCTCTAATTAACGTCTAAGTATAGTCTATGAAATGTTAAGTCATTTAAATTAATGTCAAGACAGTTCTACTGTATGGGGCAGAAACCTGGAGAACTACGAAAGCCATCATCCACAAAATACAGGTGTTTATTAACAATTGTCTACGCAAAATACTTCAGATCCATTGGCCGGACACTATTAGCAACAACGTACTGTGGTAGAGAACAAACCAGATTACAGAGGAGGAAGAAATCAGGAAGAAGCGCTGGAAGTGGATAGGACACACATTGAGGAAAGCACCTAACTGCGTCACAAGACGAGCCCTCACATGGAATTCTCAAGGCCAAAGAGGGAGAGGAAGAACAAAGAACACGTTACACTGGGAAATGGAGACAGACATGAGAAAAATGAACAAGAATTGGATGGAACTAGAAAAGAAGGCCCAGGACAGACTGGATTGGAGAATGCTGGTCAGCGGCCCATGCTCCATCGGGAGTTACAGGCGTAAGTAAGTAACATTGTAACTAGATCAATTTAAGTCAACCAACCTTAAGGACTAGATAAACATGAGGTCACTTATTGTTCAGTAATTGGTTCATGTCATCACAAAGTTAAACAGAACAACAATACCGATTTACCAAGTAATTATTATGGATAATCATTTTCTTGACAAGATACAATCTATTCACTTATTTGACTTACTTAAAACGAATTATTATTACAACTTAGTCAATAAAAATCTAGTCAGTTTATACATCAGCAATATAATTGAAGTCGAACTAATTCGTTAATTAGAACTAGAAACTGAGACAATATAACATGTTAGCTTGCCATTTCAGTACATGGAATATCCCTGTAAATACATATTTTAATTGCCTTAATATCTCATCTAACAGTTGATGACACATTTTCCTCATTCGTCGATAAAGTTTACCGTATTATATCTATTGATTGTCAAATGACCTAAGCATCAAACTTCTAATTCAGTATGTTGATTTCAGTATATTTACTAGTTAAGAACCAACCTACTTTAAAATCTATCAGAAGTCAACATGTCTAACTGCTTCTTATTTAGATATGAATCCAGAGATTTTAGGTTTTATGCCAAAAAATTTCCTTATTGTTTACACTGCGAATTGATGATAACTAAATAACCATTGAAAACTGGGAATCACCAAACAACAGTTTCGACTAATATATGAATTTTCAGCAGTGGGCTTCCTAAACTCTGACTAGAATTGAAACTGTGAACTTCACCATTGGAATGGCATTGATCATTTTACATATTTTGCACCAACCAACTGTCAATATTGTGTAACCATCCTTCAGTGCCATCGATGGACGAATGTCTCACAATCGACATAGTTGGTGTGGATCTGTTGCCTGGAGAAAGACTTCTTGACCTTGAGTATGCGGACGATATTGTCTTACTGTGCGATAATGCCCAAGCCATGCAATCCGCACTTAATCAGTTGGCAATCAGTGTCCTTAGGTATGGTATGTGCTTTGCACCTTCGAAGTGCAAAGTACTTCTACAAGACTGGCAGGATTCCAATCCTGTACTCACCCTGGATGGTGAACAGATAGAAGTAGTCGAGAAGTTCGTGTATCTGGGTCGCTGCATAAGTGCTGGTGGGAGTGTGAGTGATGAGATCAATGCACGAATAGTGAAAGCCAGATCGGCTTATGCCAATCTGGGCCACCTTTGGCGCCTTCGTGATGTTAGTCTGGCTGCAAAAGGTCGGATCTACAACGCGTCCGTGAGAGCAGTTCTGTTCTATGCTTGTGAAACCTGGTCTCTCCGAGTTGAGGACGTTAGACGACTCTCTGTGTTCGATCATCGCTGTCTCCGAAGGATTGCTGACATTCAGTGGCAACACCATGTCAGTAATGCAGAGGTTCGGCATCGTGTGTTCGGGCACAGAGATGATAACTCAATTGGTGTCGCTATCTTGAAACACCGACTTCGGTGGCTTGGACATGTTTTGTGTGACATCTCTTGTGTATTATTGGATTATCACAAGTTGTTTGAGAAAGATAGAATGTAGCTAGTATTGGAATCTAGGACACAGGTTTTGTACCGTTTGAGATTCATCAGTCGGATGTATCTACCATATCCAATTGTTGATGTTTACACTGCGACTCAAACCTAATGCCAGTTACTCTAAACAATGACACAATCCACACTGAGCTACTAAGTCCAGATAGCCACTATCTTGTCCAATGAATATGATTTTTATATCATTATCAGTGTGATCTTGAATTATGGACAATGGGCTGTTGTTAATTATCCTAACAATGATTAATACGCATAGACAACCTAAGGTAACAAAAACGCAACAAGGACGAGAGAAATCGATACTCTGTACATAACGTCCGGCCCCGAACAAAGAGGAAGAACAAAAGATCAATGATCACTAGATCAAAATCGTTTTTATATTTCAAACAGACTTAGTTTCTATACAAACAAATCAGAGTACATTGAACCATAATGTAAAAAATAACAAATATCCAAATTGGCTTCTTGTAAGATGGTATGTAATAATATTCGTAATCTTTCCTACTCAGTACACTAAAAAAAGACAGACATGGATTGTCAATTCTTTCTAATTTTTGGTTGAGATCATGAATTAATTGATGTTAGACCACCGTTGGAAACCTGGAAGCACTGGACGACCGTTTCGTCCTAGTATGGGACTCCTCAGCAGTGCGCATCCAATTTTCCTATCTATCTGACTTATTAGAGGATAAATCTTAATAAGAAATAAATGTCATTCATAAAACATGTATAATAACTAGAGAATAGTGGATGGTTGTTTAGTTCACATTTTGGAAACTCTTCAACAGTACACATTTATGGCTACATTTATCTTAAAACTAGATTCATTGAATAGATTCCCTCCATTTTTTACCATTTCAATACTACTCACTTTATACTTAAATTCTAAGTAATACACATGACATTCAATGAACAAATAAACATTTGGTTCTCCAAACATTTTGTTTTCATTGGTGATTGTATAATAGTTCAATTTCAAAAAAAAAAATAAATTAAAACTAATTGTTAAGTAGTACAATTATTGAAATTGTCATGGAAATTAAATAAAAGAATAATATAGTACAATATTTGGTTAAATCAATCATTTATAGGGCGTATATTAAGGCATATCTTTATTATTCTTAGAAGAGTTCTGTGTTTATTTATAATTGGATAATGAACAATGAGGAACCGTATAGTTTTTATATTACTAATATATACGTATATTTATTAAGTAAATGGTTAATATAGTTTCTCTTTTCTGTCAGTGTGTCTGTGTATAATTCACCTTTTCTTTAATATGTGGATCATTTGAATATAATTCAACACACACACACACATATATACACACACACACCTATACTCACAAACACATATTTGCATGTGCTCACACATATATTAGAAAAGTGTACAATGTACACACAACCAATTTTTTAGTACCGTACTGTACAATAATACAATAATCTTTGTAAATCTTATCTAAACATAACCATAAATGAATAATTCTGAAATTATTAAAGTCAATGATGATATAACAACAATAAAACATAAAAAACATGGAAAATTTAGTCGTTTCTTTTCACATTTTAAACATAAATCACATCATGATCATGAATTGAAAATGAAAACAGTAACACCTTCACCTATATTACCAATATGTTCTATGAATCCTGAATCATTAGAGACTATATCATCGATAAATCCACATTCACATGGTTGTTCAACAATTTCTAATTGGTTTACTGGTAAAAATAAAGAAAATGTTCATGATAAAAGATCAAGTGTAAAACGGAGAAAATATGAAGAAATTCAAGGAACTGTAATAGTAAGTTTAATTGAATTCTCTATTTTTTGTTTTGTTTGTTGTTCATTATTTTTGTCTGTTATAATTTGTTGTTTGAATGCTTATTGTCTTGGCTCTTTTAATACTACTTTTTATAACTGGTCGTCGCTGATTGTTATGTCGGAAACAAATTATACTCGAAACGAGGGACCTCTGCAATTCCCACGAAGCGAAAGTAAGAACACAAAGACTGGTATAAGTGATGATCTGTTAACTCTAAAACACGACGACGACGATGACAACGATTCTAGTAGAAAATACACTCATTTATAGATTGATTGTACACTCATTTTGATTAATAATTAGGATTAGATCACATATATGAAAAATACTTTGAATCAAAACGGAAATAATCTTGAACCAAAACTCATAATGAGTAAATTAATCGAAAATCGACTTTTCTTTCCATCATATCATTGTCAAAAAAGGAGTAAAAAAGATGGAGAGAAAGAAACCAACTCACTTGAGTATTATTTATGTTCAGTATAGGATTTTATAGAAGTTATAGAATTTTTATAATTTTTAAATTTAAGTTAGACAACCATTGAAAATAAGGAAACATTGAGCAGATGCTTCATCCTAGTATGGAACTCCTCAATAGTGCTCACTCACAATTCCTCAACCGAGAATTGGACCCAAGGCCTCTGATCTCGTGTACGAACTTTTAACCTCTAGACCATTTATCCGGTACCCAACCGTGTTAATGTTTAACTTCAATCAATTCAAGATATATTGTGCAACCATTAAAAGTTGCCTATATTGGATAACTGTTTCATACTCGATATGATTGAACTTTAGTGGTCACGGTTATTTACTAGAACTCCAGAACTTGTTTCTTGAAGTTAGTCACTAATGAGTAAGTGATTATTCCAAGTATAGGGTTTTGCGGAAATTATGGGATTAGTTATTTGTCAGAAAGCTGTCATCATTGATTATTTACAAAAACTATTTTTCTCTGACTTGAAAAAGTTTGTTATCATGTTCCCAGTAGTCAACATACTGTAATGGCTTAAGGATTAAAGTATTTCTCTACATTAACTACTCATTTACCATCGCCACTACTAATAATAATATTAATAATAATACTGCTACCACTATTTTCGTCATGACCAATTCATGTCACTGGACTGATGTTGTGTGGCAACTTGGGATAATGCATATCGGTGCTAGGTTCTTACGTTATGTATGATTGATTGAGGTTTGAACATCTCTATGTCCACATCAATAGCTTTCGACTTTCCAAGTTAGAATTATTAAGCTCCACACCTAGTGTATAGCTCAGAGTGTTGGTAAATAAAAATATGCTTATCAAATATCGATATTAGTAAGTGTTTAAGTTATCTCAGAAAGTAAAATTTCTCACAAGTTAGGTTAATTAATACTTGGTACTCTTCAAATCCTATAAATGAATTTCGTAACATCGTCACGATTTTCTATTTAACGTTCTATTACTGAGACAGAATATTACGAAAGCTTCCTTGGGAGGTGTGAAATTTAAGTCATACAAACAAATATAAACATCATACCTGTTAAACGAGTTGATAACCAACTGGATTTAATAACTCGGTGGATAACGGGTTCGCGTCATAAAAGAAAGGTACTGGTACGATATTATTTGAATATTGGTGTATCCAACTGACGAGTCCTAAATTGAATACGACACGTCTCTAGGATTCTACCCCTAGTTATAATCCATCTGCTCTAAGTATATTCAACAAAATAAATTACAACTCATTTAGTATTCTATATATTTACCAGGGTACATAAGCTTATTGTAAAAACTTTCGAAAAATTATTGGAAAGACAAACAGTTATGAAGTCAGTTTATCACATCACTTGTTGACAACTAGAATTTTTGTGCTAAAATATCAAAACTCTAATCCTTCGAATGAAACAGTAATACACTGACTGTTATCAAAACGATTAAATAATTTAGCACAAATATAAAAAAAATCAATAATCAAAACAAAAACAGACAATGATATTATACTTACATAACAGTCCGAATAAATTGAACCAAAACTTTTTTTAATGGATTTACCCAGTTGATTGAGATCATGAATCGATTGAAAACCTCCAAGCACTGGACTGCCGTTTCGTCTTATTATGGGACTCCCCGGCAGTGCGCATCCACGATCCCGCCCCCCGTGAGACTCGAACCCAGAGCCTTCGGTCTCTCATGCGAACGCTTAACCTACCGGGCCACTGAGCCGGCATCCAATGGTGATAGTGTTTAACATCAACCAATCCACGAAATTGCGCGACCATCTTTCATTGTACTGAGGTAGATACCTGTCTCTACCCGACATGGATTAGCTCCACTGGTCATGGCTTCACACTAGGACTCCGAGAATTCCCTCACGAATCTAGTCACTAGTGAGCACATTTTAATTACTAGTATAGGGGTTGTGGAGATTATTAAGTTTTTGATTGAGATCCTGAACCGATTGATCTCAGTCAAAAACTTAATAATCTTCACAACCCCTATATTAGTTATCCAGTTGATTCTGATTCACAGTGAAACACTAGATTCAAATTGAACAACCTTTATAGGCTCCCATTTTAATAACAATCATTTGCCAATTACTCACTAATTTCAGAAAAATTCTTCAAAGTTCTGTTAAGAAGCTATAACAAATAAATATCCTGGATACTGTATGTGGTTCTAGTTCCATACAGCTAAAGAGTGTGAAATATGAAAGAAATAGTTGTCTGATGTTTTCTAGTTTTCATTAGTTCTCTAGTTGATACTAAACTGTTATACTTCGAATAGGGAATTGTTCCAATTTATAGTAGTTTTTATTTTCCTGTTATTGGCTTTAAAAACTTCAACTGATCAGTTGGCTTTAGTATATATTCATTCTGAGTGGATTGTCTAGATATATTTAGTGAAATTTAAAAATATATATTTCTATAGTAGCTAGTAATGACACATCAATATAAGGATGTACTTACATCCAGTTGATGAGTCCCATGTAGGACGAAGTGCTTGTCATGTTTTTTCCATAATTAGTTTTTATCAACATTTAATTAAAATTAGTTTTATCAGAAGGGGTGTTGTGAAGATTTAAGGAATTATCACTGATTGAAATCATGAGTCAATTGAAGCTAGATCACCAGGGAAAACCTGGAAGCACTGGACGACCGTTTCGTCCTGGTATGGCACTCCTCAGCAGTGCGCATCCATGATCCCGCACCCCACGAGATTCGAACCCAGTAGCTATCAGTCTAGCGCCAGGCACTTAACCAACTGGACCACTGAGCCAGCATCTAACGGTGTTAATGTCTAACTTCAACCAATCCACGTACTAGCGCCACCGTACACCATTGTCATCAGTGAGCTAATATCTCACAACAAACCTGGTTGAACTCCACCGGTAACGGCTTCTCACTAGAACTCCAAGAGTGCTTCTAGGTTTTTCATGTTGGTCTAACTTCAATTGACTCATGATTTCAATCAGTGAAAATTAGTTTTTTTTTCAAAAAAAGAAGATAAGCATTTTACATATTTAATTGAAGCAGACTAGTTCATTTTAAATTATATTATGATAGGCAAGGTTATAAATGATTGAAGTACAAATGACAATACAAAACTATATTTCTCTTCAAACGCTTATGACATTTCATTGTAGTTTAACAAGGAGTTATAGTATAAATAAGCAAATTAGTTATATATATATACCATTGATTTATTGATTAATTCATATCATCAAGTACTTTTCAATGATTAATTTCATTTAAATTTAATTATTGATTATCGATTTAAAATAAATCGTTGAAAAATCAATATATTTGAAATATTATTTTAATTTAATTTCAATGTTGAATAAATCTTTATCTACAATGTTATTTACAACCCTTATTTTGTGTTGTTTAATTCATCCATCACATTTCAGTAACAATTAGCAGGGTTTATTTCTTCTTGATTAGTTCAAAAGATATATTTAGTATGATAGTAAGATGGTGGAGAAGATTTGTCGCTCAGGTAGGTGAATTTGATGGAGTTTTGTTCTTTGAGTTGGATGGTTTGGTTGTGGAGCTTTCATCGTTCTTCTGAACGATATCATCAACATAAACTTCAGATAGAAGTCGTTCACAAGAAGGATGAAAGCTCCATGATCAAATCATCCAGCTCAGAGAACAAAACTCCATTAAAATTAGTATGATGATGAGCCATAAGGATCTATAAAATAAAGTCCAGATGATAGGAATTACACAACTGTACCATCATAAAATTGATATATTTATTCTACTAGTATTGACCATTACCAGAAAGTAACAAAGTTCCATATTGTGACTAAGTCTTTGGTTGATTATTTAATGATGAATATAGACGTGTGTTTTATGCATTCAAGTAAACCGATTTATTTTAATTTCTCTCAAACAGAAAACAGTTTTCAGTGTAGGATTATGGAGATTGTTGAATTTTATTGTTTTTATAAATCGATCTAAGTTACACATTTAAAAAATTCACGGTTTGATTCTCAATTGGTGTTGTAATTGATAATCATCGTTGAGGAGTCCCATACTAGAACGAAACGGTTGTCCAATGGTTCCACATCTAAACGCTGATACATATATATATATATATATATATATATATATATACGCATGTTTAATTATTGACTGCAAGATTCCAATACCATCTGATTAAAACACTACATTGATTGACATGTAGATGGTAACGTTAGCAAAAAGGGAAGTATATATATATATATGTATGAGAAATATTTTTTCGTACTCAATCAAACTGTTGTTTGGCATTGTTATCCTGTTACTCATTGTATTTAATATTATTCTCTACTATGAAACATTAAAACTGCTCTCCTATAGAGTTGAGATTAAAAGCAACTCATTGGCTATTTGACTGAAAGCATTAATAAAATACATAGTTCTTAATTTGTTTGAAATAGTAATGCGATTTTAAACAGTAGCATTTATATCATACCAATATTCCGATTGTTTTTTTTTCTTTCATACACATAGTTCCCTTTATTATTTTAAAGAGAGTAAGAACAAAGTTTGGTGCAGAATAATAAATGGATTCATTTTATTTCGTTAGGTTCTCATCAGCTGCTTACAACCTAAAATATTTGAAATTCAACATTATTACAGATATTGACATACTTATACAACAGAGGGCGATGAAGGATGAATATATGTAACATAATGTGGTAAAGATTTCGTTAGAGTGATTGAGGTCATAAAATTTTTGTTTCGAATATATAGAGTTTGGGAGGGAAGGTTCCAGAAAATTGAGATAGTGATTAGAAATCATGGAATTAAAACACATTAGACGATTATGTAATGAAGTAACTGAAAATAGATTAATGTTAATAAAGAGAGATATGAATTGAAATTGGTTAGTTATGAGTGATGTAATTATAAAATTCAAAAAGAGTTGAAATGACGTAATAAAAATAGATAAAATAAGATAAAAGGGGGTGGGGTGAATGTTACCAGGGCAAAGAAAGAATTATTACTGTTTCTTTTTGTATACAAAGATCTGGTTTTAAACGTTTGATTGCTATTGCTTCCGCGAATTTCAAAAGGTTTGAATTTGATTGTTTGTTGATCACCTTGAAGGACTTCAGTATATCGACTTCGTGTCCTGTGTCAAGGAGATGTCTTGCGACAGCGCTGCTAAATGCTTTTAGTCCGTTTGATCTCAAACTGTTCGGAATATGTTCTTTGAATCGGACGTAGGCTCTCCTTTCTGTTCTACCAATGTAACTGCTTTGGCAGATACATGTAAATTTGTATACACAGTTGGTGGTAACATGAAAGGGATACCTGTCGACCTTTGATTGTGTCAAAGAACATGTCGTTTTGGACAGGACAATCAATTTCGCTGCAGGATATGTTTTTGTCAGTGCAGTTTTTAGTCTCATATTGATTGACCCTGTGACATTATCGCCTTTGAACTTGTGTTGAATAAAAACAGGTTTTTTATTTACTGTAGTTTCTTTGGGTATTTTATCTTCACGTTTTCCATATTTCTCAATGAATTTCAATGGGTACCTGTTATTTCTTTAACATTCATAATTTCCTCTTCTATTGTATCGGCAGTGCATATTCTCTATATATTCGAAACAAAAATTTTATGACCTCATTAACTCTAACGAAATCTTTACCACATTATGTTACATATATTCATCCTTCATCGCCCTCTATTGTATAAGTATGTCAATAACTATAATAACGTTGAATTTTCAAATAATTTAGGTTGTAAGCAGCTGATGAGAACCTAACGAAATAAAATGAATTCATATTATTCTGCACCAACCTTTGTTTTTTTTTCTGTTTCATCAAAATGTAATCACTGAAATAGGTACCGAATCGCTTACATTTCATAAGTAATTGAAAGTCTCTTTTTTTTGCCATTTACCATGGTTACACATAAGGCCCGTGACGATTATAGATACCATTTGAATGAAATGATTGACAATCTTCAGGGTTATACTATGAAAAAATATATGGGGAGGTGAATAAAATTCGTGAAATTCTCTATAATTTTTCTAAAAAATTATCGAGTAATGCATAAATGTTGTTAAATATATTTAGGTTTCCCTCGCAGTTTAAATCAAAAATTGATCTCAGCAAGACCACCATTGGAAATTTTGAAGTACTGGACAGTTGTTTCGACTCCTCAGTGGTACGCATCCTCGACTAACTTCTTAATAAAAATAAACCTAACTGTTACGATCAACAAATTACAAACTGATACACCGTCTTTAAAGATAAACATACTGATTAACAATAACAAA